GGCTCACACTTGTTTGCAAGAGATTTTGAGTAGAAAAGTTGGGGGGGGGGGAGGGGGCTCAGCCACCGAACCACAGCAGTCACCAACACACCCACTGTTCTCATTGTGTTGTGGTGACTGGCCCATGCTGGCCTTTCCTGTCCAGCCTGCCCAACTCAGAGTTGGACCAGGTAACACAGAGCACTCTTTTCCTTTTTAACTTAACAACCCAAGTCACTAGCGGTCCTCAGACACACTCACAAATCTAGTTAGGTGTTAACAGATTTCTGGTGGACAGTTTATAGTAATACGGACTATAAAGACGTCTTGTTCTATTTCCCCTCTGATCTTTTACACAGAGTTTTGGAGCTTTTTAGCACCACCTTGTGTTTCATTACCCCTCTTGTTTGCCTGATTAGATTTAACTTGTGCACTACAACATGAGACAGTGGAAACAGACTCATAGTGTCTCTCTGACCAGGCAAATCAGGAGCCATGGGAATACAGTGTATGAGTGATGCAGCAGCCACATTTTGTTTTACATAACTAGTGGGATGGTCTTGGTATCTATATGTAGTTATGTAGGTAATCACTGTATCACAAGTCTTTACAGTAGCCTATGTTTTAAAGAAGGATGGATGTAATATCTGGATTGTATATTGATATAATAATTAATAATAAATACATTATAAATAATATTTTGTCACATTAAAATCAGGATGAAAAAATAATATTAACTAGAGAGGACTGGGTGTGAAAAGTTGCTGCTAAAACTAAATTGCTGGCTTTAATTTGTATGAAAAGCAGCTGACAGCAATAAGTGGCTTATATTTTCAGTATAATGTGAATTTATTGTGTTATTGTACTTTGATGGTCATTTGTTCATTGTCCATATACTGTGTGAGATGTGACATACATAAACACTGGTCTGGTATATATAATCTAATATTTCTTATTGATTTTGTTTGTTTTACAGTGATTATCAACAGCATGAAGAGCCTAGCTGCAACTCTGCAGGCAGACAGGTAGGTGAGTCAGTCTACCCCCTGGAAGTGTGATGATCTGTCTCATTGCAGACAGGAAGTGTTTGGATAAAACTTGAAGAAATTGTAAGAAATGTACATTGTTTTTGGTGTGTTGGTTGGAATGTGTTTGTGCTTTCACACCCAAATACGTGTTGTTTACTGTCAACTCAAGGCCCGAACGAATTGGTTGCATTATGTAACATCCCCTGTCATAAAACGACATTCATAAATGATGACAAAGTCACAAAGAAGCATTATTTGTTGTTTGTTTATTGTAGCATGCAATTTCATGTGCTGAACTCTTCCTTTTTATAATTTCATCTCAGTGCAACACAGAAGCAGTATGCTGCTCGGCCAAGCTGTCTGTAAGTCAGTGTAATACAGATGAACGAGTCAGAAAATGCACAGAAGAATCAATCAGTCAGTCAAACAATATAGTTTCATTAATCATTATAGCACATAAATGAGTATCACCATAGGTTAGAATTACTCCAGTCCTGCATTACCTTACAGTAAGTAAAAGGGAAACCTTTCACAATGTGATATTTCCAAGGAAATAAATGGAATACGTAACAGTATTATTCATTATGGGGACATTTTAGATATGCTGTCTCTTTAAGGATTTTCCTCATTCTGAAACATTACACGGCTGCCCCAATGATTTAAACATTTAAATATATCTGATTATCACAGGTTGTATAAATGAGCGTCTATACTATAAGTCCATCTAATGATGGTGCCAGACTGTATACAATGACGGATGTGTACCATCTCTTAATAGTTCATTTACATTTCAATCGAACAATAGATTCGCAAATAAAATGTCTAATACAGACATGAATAGTCAGAAAACATCAGTTCATCATATGTTTCACAGTCAACAAACAAGCTTTTCCCCATATAATATAGAATAATGAGACACATTTTTGTCTAATAAAAAATTTCAACAGTTTCAGCAAATTCTCAAATTCAAAACAAAGAAGCAGACCTATATACCAAGAAGGAGAAATACCACAACAGCAACCAAATGTGGTAATAACAATAATAGTCATAATAATAATATAATCTCTATTAAACAAGAATTCATTTTCATGAGCAAACGAGTAAAATGCTGCAAGCAAACTTCAGCACTTGACGTGGCCACACAGTGGGCATGTGCAGAACTCTTACAGCGCTGGGTGTGTTGTATCACAACTACAGAATCATCAATACTCCTCCGCCATCACAAGAGGGACTATATTGCATGCATGACGCAGGATGCAGGGAGGATGGGGTGGTGGGGTAAAGGAAGAGCCGGGGCGGGGTGGGGTGAGGGGGCACGGGGTGGCACCCGCTGGCAGTGATGGGGTGGGAATTAGTGCAGTGCAATTAGCCACTACAGCAGTGCTCTATGGACACTTTAAAGGAAACAGGGGAGTATCACTTTGACATTAGTTCAATACTCACAATACTGTTTTTACATACAGTAGTGCCCAGCCCTTTCCCATGAGAACAGGGATAGCAAAGCCAATATTGATACTGAGAGGCAAAAGAAAACACGGGCAAAGTAAACACTTGCAAACAATATAATCAGCGTAACCCATTTATGCTTCGGGTGAAAGGGCCAGTTATCAGCAAGTAAAATTCAGGTAAATACTTCCACAGAATATTTAAGTGATGAATATAGAAAAAGCCAAAGTAGTTGAGCAACTGAAGTCTTCCCTGAGCAATTCAAGACAGACAAGGATCTAGCCTCCTCTAATGGAACAAAGCAGGACTACAAGAGAAGTGATCTCACTCCTCACACCTGACCGAGCCTTTCCCTCCTCACAGAGTTTACAGTAGAGGAATATGAAAAGCTATAGGAAAATTGCAGGGATTGATTGTACTGTACTGTACACAACATGGCACTTAACGTTACATGACTTCAAAGGTGAAGTTGTAAACAGATGCAGAGCGACAGTAGGTAGCTGAGCTCATTTCATAACAAAGCTAAATCCCTGCGCCAGCTCTTGCCTTTTCATCTCAGAAATGAACCCCATAAAACATTGGAGTTTTCAAAAAAGTATTATCACAAGTCACACTGAATTGTTCAGTCAAATTCATCATTTTGTCTACCCGCTTCTCCAAGCATATGTTTGGTGGAAGACTGGGAGAAAACCCCCCCAAAAGGTTACCAGTCACCTATTTACCTATTCAAGCTTCAAGTCGAAACTAAATAAGCAATCCTCACTTGTACAGCCATTCTGCCATCCTCTAAAATGGGATTTAATGTATAATCTGAGAGGAAAGACGTCGCTGCTGAAAAGGTACAGTAGCTTAGGTGAGAGGAAATTAAAGAGGAAGTTTCAAAGATAAGTCTTCTCACGCTACACAAATCTCATAAGATTTAGAATAGGTGTAAACAAACTCAGAGTCTTCATGACTTCAAATCCTGTATATCTAAAATGGGTTAATGTTTTTTTTTTCTATGTCATTAGCCACACATGACAAGATGCCTCATATCTATAAAAGGGAGTGAGGCAAGGCTGGGCTGTAAGGAAGTCACCCATACTGCACAAAACGACAGTGAACTAGACAGCGTACTGATGGCCAGCAAAAACAGAGGAACACTAGACAAGACAATCAGTTTTGTCTCTGTGATGTGAAATATAGCCAACAAAACAATAGTAACAAAGATCCTGATACAAAATACCCCAACAAACAACTTCACAGAAGTTAGCAATGCATAAAATAAAAGGAAACAAAACATTTCAAAAAGTTAAACAAAGATATAGCATGAAGAAACACAAGAAATGGTGTCCCTCACTTTTGTAGGCTTCAGCTTGAAAACACCATGCGCAACTTCTGAATATTGTTTACATTGTACACAAAGGCGAGTGGACTGGAAAGCACTGAGACCACATTAATGTGAAAGATATCACCTCTGAAACAGGACGGGAGACTGGCAGTGGGCTTGGACAAAAGTCATCATAGAGCCCAATGTTCAGGTTTATATAACACCAAGGAGAGAAAGGCCACTGTATTGCATGTTTGTGTCTACTGTGTGTGAAGTGTGCACACATGTACTGTGTGTGTGTGAGTGTGAGAGCAGTAAGACTAGCAGGATTAAATGCCGGAGCCACAACGGGCACACAAAGATGAAACAATAGTTTGAGTTGACGGTGAGTCACTGTGGCTTGAATAGAAATTAACTAAATTAGTTCCATCTGCAGCTGAAAATACAAATTTCTGTTCCCAAAAGAAGTGCTTTGTATTCTTTTGTTGCAGTATGAGTCACATAATAAAACAAAGGTTAAAGGTAGTATAGTGTGGATTAAAAGAAAGTGTACACACATCTTTGTATTAATGTCTTGATCTCCAGTGATCGACGATCATTTACAAATTCTATTTATGACGTATTTTGTTGTGTTCTGTGATCTCATGACAGTCGAGGTTAACATTTAAAAGGTCCCATGACTAATAAAAGACAGAGGCTTGTTTGAGGATCAGCATAGTGAAGGCCTCTGTTTTCTGCAGTTGCCTATTTTATTGGAGGATCGGAGTGCCCGTTTTTGTTCTCAGTATTATAAGGTCTATCTCTTGCTTTTTCAAGGAATACTTGTGAAAATGTGTTATGCAGCAATACAGCAAAGGCTATAAACTACACCAGCAGCATCAAACCAGATGAAGGCTTTGCCGTGTGAGGATGCTTATGGAAGCAAATGCATTAACATGTGAAGAGATAGCAAACCATGAAAATTAACTGTCAGATATTCATAAGGGGGCTAAAAGATTCAAAAAGTGAGGAACGGAGGAAAAAGTGAAGGAAAAGATTGACACAAAATGTAAGTAAATGTAAAAAGTGGCAAGACTCATTGTACTGTATTGCTGCCTACTGTATAGGCTGCTGTTGTCTCTCAGATTTTAAATGACACGAGAGAGGCCCATCAAACACAAGTCTGTCTTTGTCAGCCATGTTGAATGACAACATAGTAGACGACGTGCAAACATAAGGCGTACAATGTTATGTGAAATCATGTGATGAAGATGTTGTTAGATCTAAAGCCTTTCTCCTAAATGTGACCAAAGCTGAGACTGCAAACATGGACAAGTTCAGCATCTACTGTAAGTGCAAACTGACCATGTACCTTACGAGGCATAAACAGTGATATCACTAAATTCTCTGTGGAGCTGTACATTGGTGAAAAATCTCCACTTAGGAGGCAGGACAGTGTGTTTTCTCTTGCTCCTTAAGATGTGGCGCAGCACAGACTGTCAAGTTTTATTTAGGCATATGATCGACATATATGAAGGCTGAATTTAAATGATATTCCCTTTAACCAGGATGTGGCTGTAGGGAAGCGATTCAGCTCTAGCTTGGTGCAGGTCAGTGTCTGACTTTGTGTCCCCTTAGCTTCCATTGAGCAGCATCTCTGTCACAGTCGTCTCAGGACAAGCCCGGGTGGAGGCATCCCCCAGTCGAGGGGGTCCGGTCCTCAGCATCAGCTTGCCGACGCCCAGACCTCCTGAGACCAACCCTCCAGGAGACAGAGACTTCCTGGAAATCAGAAAGAGAGGAGGGAAGGAATAAAAGAGTCAAGACTGCCGGCTTAACCAACTCAAAGAAGACTCAGACCGAGGGTGATCCTGCCAAACACTGGTTACCATTATAATTCACCTGAAGGCCATCTTTTTCAGCAGGTGAGTATCCATCTTGTCTGTCGAAGGACCCTCTGTTTGGGGGTGCTCCTCCACAGGAGAGGAGAGGAGGGGAGAGGAGCAGGGAGGTGGAAGGAGGTGGGAAGAATCCTGAGACTGTGGGGTGGCCAGGTCTAAAGACTCCTGAGCGGCAAAGAGGCAAATTAAAAACTCCGAACTTCGAAACATCCCTTCAGAAATAGCCGTGCAACATCACAGACACAGTGTCCATGTGTTTTTACTGTGTATGGTTCATAACTCTGCTCTGATTTACATAGTCATACAAACCTGAGACTTGATCTCCTGGTGGTCTGAATCCTCCATGTCAAGGACACACAGTTCAAGCTCAATATCTCGATCCGGGTCCGGCTCACTCTCAGCCCGGCCCCGATTCTGGCTGTAGGCGGTCTGACGGGCTTGCAGATCAGACACAATTTTCTCTCCGCTGCTTATTGAAGTTCGACGGCCGTGAAGCTCTGACGCACAAAGCTGCTCACTGAAACCACAAAAACACAACCATTGATCCCTATTTTTATTTTTTTAATGTTTTAATTTCTTGTTATCAATATCAATATTATCTAAAGAAAGAGAGTTATGATAATGAAGGTAGAATAAAAGAAAATATGCATGTTAAAGCATTACACTGTGCACTAGCAGCCTGGTAATGGTTATTAGAACTGCATGTCAGTATATCTGAATGTATTCTGTGCATTAGAGACATCAGTGCTGAGGGCTTCCCTGACTCCTTTTCTTGGCTGCCCAGAGGGTTTTTACCAACCAGCTAGCAGCTCTATTTTTAGTCTGACCACAGAGAGGAAATGACTGCAGCACAATGAGAGAGGGATGAGAGAGAAAGAGTAAGAGCAAATGTTTTAAGAACAATCAGGAATTAGTTTCTATGTGTGTCCTGGGGGTGTTTTAGCAGAGTGAAATGTAACCAATACTTTTTTATAGCAGGTTTGTGAACTTAAAAGATTTGAATCTTGTTGTTAAGTGTTGAGAAACAGAAAGGTGCAGGGAATGTGCTTAGCATAATAATTCCCCCATAATTCCCCCATAATTTAGCGACAAGTAAGACAAAAAAAGTGATGTGCGTGTGGTACCTCTCTAGGAAACTGGAGTGGCTTGAAGAGTCTGATCCTCTGGAGCTCCACCTGTAGTCGCTGTGATCAAGGTGGGGGTTGTAATCTTTGAGAGAAAAACAAATCAAAATGTAAACAAACAACACTTTAAAACTTTATAGCTAGACTATAAAAAAAAAAGTGTTTGATTCTGACTTCTTCTCAGGCTGGTTGTTCCAAAGCCTCCTCATATAAAAATAAAAATTCTCCCTCCTCTTCCCTCCCTGTCAGCCTTGTTCCATCCTGCACTTCTCTTTTCTTTAGTCTTTCCTGCACCTCTCACACCCCTCTTCTATCCCTCATTACCTTTAAAGTTGATGGGTGTGGTGCTGGCGCTGCCCTGGCAGGCCGTGGCTTGGACAGGGTCGGTGGTGTGGTAGCCCGTGCGAGATGCCCTGGATATGGCACCCCACTTGGATATAATGGGCCCCTCACTAAAGGGAATGATCGGGTCCTCGTCTTTCAAGCGGCGGTAGGGATCTAACGAATGCAGCCATCGTTTCCCGACACCGCCACTGCTAACGCCACCGCCTCCACCTCCGTTGCTGTCCAACTCCTGCATGAGAAACACACGGATGCCATTAGAAAGAGAACCCATCTCCACATCAACACACTGGACCTTCAGGACGAGTCTCACCGAGTGCTCTGAGCAGGAGTGAGCTGAGGTGTGTGTGAGCGTTTCGGGCTCAAAGGGGCTGAGGCAGGGGCCGATGGTACCACAGGACCACGGAGAGTAGTGCGCTAAACTTTCCTCGCCTCTGAACCTGCACCCCACACACTGGCCTCCACCGCTCTCCACGTGCTGAAAGTGAAAATGAAGACGATGGTGAGACACACTCCTTAGCTTGTTTGTGCTTCTACACCGATATTGATGTGCCAAGCATTTGTTTAAAAGAGACAGAAAGACGGACGTAGCAGCTGTTTGCACAATATGGGGCACTGTAGGATCATTTTGGTCTTAGTTAGGCCTGCGTTCGAAATAGAGACTCAAAATTGCCCACATGTGAGAATGTGAGTGTGTATGGTAGTCTATATGTGTCAGCCCTGTGACTGGAGACATGTGCAGTGCAAGTGTACCTTGCCATGTGAAATGAATATTATACAGAAGGTATAAGTTTGAGGAGGAGGGCTCATACAACTAATTTGAATGTATGCTCCCACTGCTAGTGCTGACACGCTGCCACTTCACTGCCATCGCTGAGGCAAACACTGGATATCATTAAATAGACATATCCTGTCTTTTCGCTGATGGTCTTGTTTGCCTATGCTTGTTATGCAGAGGCATCAAAAAAAAAAAAAAGAAAGAAAAAATAAGGAAACAAACACTTAAAAAAGTCCTTGCGGTTCATTTAATAAGAGCTCAATTTTATGTGATGTCAAAAACATATCTGACGTGCTGTTAAACAAAGCTTTACTCGGCTGAAAGCCTGAGTCACTGCTCGTTAAAGTCTCTCCTCTCACTTTCTCTCTCTCTCTCTCTCTCTCACTCACACACACACACACACGCCCACACATGCCACAATTGTGCATTGCTATGATATCTTCCTCCACAGTTGCTAAGCAACTATCTCCCACTTAAATAGCATTGGACACAGCTGAAGCGAAGCTTTTGGGATAGGAATTAAATCCTACATATTTTTAAAATGCTAAAATACATAAGGAATTCATTACTTACAGGTTCAGGGTGGCTGCTGTGACACTATTAATAATCTGGTCACGGTGATGTTTTAATTTCAACTGTTATGCCTATAAACGCCCTCAACGATGCTCTGTGTGTTCGTGTGTGTACATATGTTGTCTTTCTTATTTGCTTCCTACCTCACTTCCAAAATCGATGGTGAAGATGGGGGAGGATTGGGAGGGCCTGTTGGTATTGTGATGGTGGTGATGATGAGCCCACTGCTCCTGCTTCCGTCTGAACAGATCCTCGTAGCCCAGAGGAACACGGCCATAATCCTGACAGGGGATTGAAAGTGAACAGGTACATTAACATAATAGTAATAATATCTTCAAACATTTTAATTAAAGGTTTAGTGGCGATGTCATTAGGTAGCCAACACATCCGACTGAAGCCATAAAAGACAACTGATGAGTATCATTCACAACCAAATTGTGGATTTGGGGAAATACTGTACATTACAAATATAATGCTTTGAGTTTTTAGTTGTCAGAATTCCTCCATCCTTTCCCAAGTTCAGGTGCAGTAGGTGTGATAGAATTTTATGTTTGGTCTGGGTCTAGACATCGAGCCAGGCAGAGGAGCCTTTTTTATGAAATTGTGGGGGTGGAAGCAATAAAAACAGCTGTACAAAATAGCTGTTTATTCATTTTTGAGGGTGTAGTTATTAGGGCTGTGCGATATGGTAAAAAAAATCCTATTGAGATTATTTTGACAGATACTGTAATTGCAATATGATTCACAATTAGTGGGAGTGATAATTTTGACATCCCAATTTTCATTTTCTGTGGTCTGTATCAAACAAACATGTTTTTCTCACCCGGAGAACAAGATTTATTGGCCAGGGCATTTCTTCTTCTTCATTATAATGCTTTTTTGTCACATTTGCAGCTTCTGAGGTTTGGATATTGCACTTGGCCATATTGCAGTTTCATTAGTAGTAGTTAGTAGTTTGGTATTACCTTGCCTTATAATGTAAGGCTGTCTGTCCCATGTGGTAGACACAAAAAGTATATTGAATATTTCCATTGCAGGACTATTGCAGTGCATTGAATTACAATATAAATGTGTTGCTATAATACATTTTTTGTGTTCTCCTGCACAACACAAAAAATACTTAAGTAATATATACATTTTGGTTATTTGCACTTTTAGTATTTTAAAATATACCAAATACAAAAAATACTAATACACACAGACCGCATCTATACGACAAATCTCAATAACAGGTAATGTTGCCGCACATACTGGTAAAATATACTGTAGTATTGCAGTAGTCATACCAGTAATGCTATATAAGTAATAAGGAGAGAAGTGAGTGGGGGAGGCAGAGACACATTTGGGTGAGAAGTGGGAGGACTACAGAGGAGGTTGAAGCTACATACTGCAGCTCTGTGGCTGGCAGTGAAGGTAGAGGTGAGATGATATGTGGGTGTAAAAAGAGAAACTGAAGGAAAGGAGATGTTGCTGAACAGAATGTAGCATTAAATCTGTTCAATGCAAGACAGACCAACATCAATTAATATAGGTGTTTTCTCTTGACATACTGGATGCTGCACAAGAGATGCTGCATTATACTGAGATAAGAAAAACAGAAAGCAAATCATTTTAATATAACCCTCAGCAGAGAGCGTTATTTTTAATTATTGCATGGCTCAGAGTGGATTATCTCTCTTATAATATGCCTACTTATCAATAATTAACCTTTTTTTTAATTACGCTTAAATAAATACTATGCTTTCGCTTCTAATGTCAAAGTTTGAATAAACATTACTCAAACAAGTGGGAGAACAGCCAGTTAGTACGGTTCTTGAACGGATATCGGTCTAAAAGTAGCTGCTACATCAGAGGTCTTAAAATAAATCCCCTCAGCCAATCAGAAGTGAGTATACTCGATGACCATGCTATGACTGGAACTGTTTTTAACCGGTTTTCATCTTCGTGGTCACAACTTACAATAATATTTTTTCCAAAACTTTGAAAATAACCTGTGGGGTTCCCCAAGGATCAATTTTAGGGCATATTCTTGTTTATCTATATATTCAACCCCTTGGCGATGTCAACACAGCATCTCTTTCCATAGTTATTCTGATGACACACTTTATGTGGCCATGTCTCCTGATGACACAGGTCCACCTGATTCCCTTTTTGAGTGTATTTTAAATATTAATGTATAGATGGCACAACATTTTCTATTCAATCAGGATAAAACTGAGGTTTTAGTGAAAAAATAAATATCCTAACCCTGAGGAAACAAGTGAGGAACGATGTGGTCTTCGACTCTGACCTGAACTTTGAGGCTCATGTGGGGTTTGTCACTAAAGCTGCTTTTTATTAACTAAAGAATATTGCTAAAGTGCGACCATTTCTCTCTCTGAGTGCATCCTTGTATCTCAAGCAGGTCAGACTACTGTAACGCACTCCCTTCTGGTCTACCCAAAAAAGGTCACAGCTGTTTCGGAACTCTGCAGCCAGAGTGCTGACCAGGACCAGAAAGAGAGAACACATTACACAACGGTTTTGAAGTCCTTACATTGTTCTATTGTTTTTAGTATAACTTACATCAAACACTATCGTTATACCTGTATTTTATTGTCATTTTTATCATTGCATTTTATTTTTAAATAAATAAATTTAATTTGTACTGCATTCGGTCTTGTCAATCGTCTGTGAAGCACTTTGAACTGCACTAAACTGTATAATATGTGCTATATAAATAAAGTTTGATCGATTGATTGATAAGAAATGTCTTGTTTCACCAACCCTGTGTAGCCCTGCACGGTGTTCAGCTCCAGAGCAGTAGTTGCTATCTAGAGAGTTGAATCTCTCCCTGAGTGGAGGCTGGTAGACAGAGGAATGCAGCACCTCTGGAGGCAGTGAGTTACTCCTGGCATCCTCTCTGTGATACAGCTGCAACGATAATCATCATCATTATAATATAATAAGTTGCAGACTGATCAAATTAACATAGTGATATGATAATTAACAGAAGGCTCACCTGAGGCCTCCATACTCTCCTGCTGTCATAGAGCGGAGCATAAACACCATGAGCAGAAGCCAGAGGCCCATACTGAGGCTGCCCTGGGTGGGGATGGAAGGCAGGAGGTCCCATCCGATCTCTAGGCGGGTACCCTGACGAAGAGGAGGAAGGTGGGTGTTGTGTTTGAGAGTCACTGGGGTAGGAAGATGGTGGAGGGCCAATCGAGGGTGGCAGGGAGGATTCTGGGACATTGGAGGATCGAAGGAACCGAGCCATGCAGGGTTTGTGAGGGGGATGAAGGGTAGATGGGTAGTAGGAACCTGCTGGAGATGAGGAGGGAAAAAAAGGGAGAGAAGAGATTTGCACTTTCTCTAGACAACAATAAAGTTTTTTTTAATTAAAGCTTTTATTTCAAAATGGACTCACAGGTTGGTTGATAATGGGCTGTTTCATATGCAGAGTGGGGCTCCTGATAGTACAGCTCTGACGCCTGAGAAGGATGTGGTGCACGCAGCACAAACTGACCATGTTTGGGCATAGGAGCGCCACCGTCACCCCGTCCAACTGTTGTCAAGGGAGACGATGCTGAGGAGTGGCTGACTGGAGTTCTGGGAGGAGATATGGGCTTCCTAATGGACAGGATGACAACATAAAGAGAAAGAATGAACACATAAATAAGTAAGGTTAGACCTTCCCAACAGCACATAAATGTTTATGAAGGACTATTTCTCTACCAAAATCATATGCAAATATTAAATGTGTGCCAATCCACACATCAGGTGACATGTGAATATGGATTTCACTGGGTTAATTCAAATGTAAATGATATTAGTGAGTAAGTGGAAGAATAATCTTACTGTTCAGTTGACCCCGATGTGTTTCTGCTGGTGCCAGAGAGCCCGTTGGACCCGTTAGCCCCATTGGATCCATTTGGCACCGCTCTCTTCATCTCATCCATCATGTCAGACCCTCTGGAGATCAGTTGCGGGTGAGTCAGGCCGGGCACTCCCTCCGTCAGGGCGGCTGTGTTCTCTCCTGTGCCTTTGACTCCTGCAGATACATCTGAGTGGATGCTTCCCTCCATGGTGAAGGTTTTACCCATAACCCCCGGTGCTAAAGGGAACGCACGGCCCACACTGCTGCTCTTCTTGTTCCTCAGTCTAAATCTGTAAAGAGATGAAGGGACATGCTGCTTTCGTCAGAAGAGAACATCTTAATAATCTGAATACTGTGTGTGTTTGTGCGTCCTTAGCCTTGCAATAATTTTTTCAGAGGACATCTTGTAAATCCTCTTGTAAATAAATATATGATTAGATTAATAGTCTAATTAAAAAGTGGGGGTTGGGGGGTGTAGACACAGATGAGAGCAGAAATAAAAGGTCTCTTTTTACAGGGCAGAGTTAAGTGTGCCTTAGGCTAAAACCCCTTAATGGGATGTAGATATTTGTCTAACTTATGACTCTTCCTCATATATCGATACTTCGGTTAATCGTGCCGTTTTTTGCAGTTATGAAGCACAGAATAACGCCCACAGTTGGACAAGCTGACTTTAGCAGTCCCAACATTATGTCACTAATTAGAAATGCAAACTTGGATGATCAGAGTTCTTTTATATCTTGAATACAGTGAAAAGAGAGTCTTTAGGAGTGCTCACTCACTTCTCCAGCTCATCCTGTGTGTGTGCAAATGTACAGTTGGTTCCCCGGGGACAGCCTCCCTGCTGACGAAGGTCTCGACACATGCTGGTCTTGTACTTGCTGTTGGCCTGAGGCTGCAGAATGCACACATACAATTTACATTAACTGTCAAAAAGATGTAAAAGACACTGTGTTGGAAAATGAATGGTATCACAAGTCAAAGCCCACAAACAGGTACGGACAGACTACAAAGGTTAGCTGCCTGCCAAACATCATTAAACAAAAACATGTGACTTTCATAATCATCTTTGTTCTATATTCTTAATTGAAAACAATTGTTTCAAACTGAGCTGCCATTTCAAAACTATTCTTTGGCTTACAGAGCTCACAACTGTTTGCCCCTGAACACATCTTTTATATCTTCAAAAATATTTTAATTTTGTCAATGTTGAAATTAAAAGATTCTTTTAAACCACCAACTGTCTAAACCTAAGGGTAAAGGCAGAGGTGGATCTGTAAAAGTGTCACCTTGTGGTCGCTCTGCAGGTTTATGCGACAGTCAGAAAATATGAAATGAATGTTCTGATTTTTGAATTCATCACTCAAAGAAATGAATGCTTCCCTTCTAGCCAAGGATGATTGACAGAAATTGACTGTAATACTTATTAATCAATTCTGTTTTCAGTGTTAGTTTTAAACGCCATGTCCTTTGAACTATCTACAGTCAGGAGGAACAAAGTGTGCTGCTAGACCCTGAACATCTTATCTTCTATGCTGATGGCCTTATACGGTGCCTGGATGGAGCAGCAGTACAACCTCTCCTCTCACCTCTCTCGTCCTTATTCTGCACTTTTCAGAAGGGCAAATATTATTTATATGCTCCCTCAAATTTCCTGCTGCCCGTCTCAATTCTTGCACTGTTCTGTTATCCATTTTAAATATGTACCTGTGGAGCGTCGTGGCTCTTCTTGCTGAAGTTCTGAATGAATTCCACAAGTCCGTGAACCACCAACTTCACAGCCAGCATCACACTTTCCAGCTCCTCCCATGATGGTGCCGGGGCATCTGGACACAGATCAACAACACATCTGTATAGTATCACTGTGCATTATCTCAAAAAGGCTTTAGAATCTAGTGCATATGAGAGATCATTGAGATTAGACATCCTGATACCATTAAATCAGGGCAAAACGCTCTACCTGACTTACTTTTTGGATGAGGATACATGCACTTTTGTCATTATCTCAATTACACAGTATGGGAACAAAAAAGGGCACCAAAAGAAAAGAATATATTTGATTCCTAACTAAAAATATAAAAAATTAAGAGTGTACAGCCATGTTAGCAGCTCTGAGATTACAATTACTGCATAATTCTGCTTTGAGCTAAATGCTAACATCAGCATGCTAACATGCTCACGATAACAATGCTAACATGCTGATGTTTAGGTATGTTATTTGTGATGGTCACCATTTTAGTTTTGTTTTTAGCATGCTGACATTTGCTAATGACAAAGTACAGCTGCAACTGAAGGGAATGTAATCAAGTATTAAACGAGTTTGACAAGTTGTGTAGGATGTAGTGGTATCTAGTGGTGCAGATTACAACTTCCTCGTCTCACCTCGTCTCTCCAAGCGTGTAGGAGAAACTACGGTGGCCATGAAAAATGCAAGAGGGCCCTATCTACAGCCACTGACTACTGAAAACATGCCTATGAATATAATCTTCCATTTCTGTCAATAGATCCTCCTAAATGTTACACACTGGACATTTAATAGAGAACCACATGACAGAATAAATATCTGAGTGCCAAACACATCAAACACCCCGCTTGTCTTTGTGCTTTGATTAATAAATGTTTCACACAGAAGATGAGTCAGTAGTTGTGATCTTTGCTATTGTGCTCGTTAATTGCATTTTGGTATGTGAGGGTCAGAGCTTGCCTATTTCCTTCACTTTTAAATCTCATTAAACTTTCTGGAACTGAACGAGCCCTTTATTCTGAGAAGTGTTAATAATCCAGACTCTTTTGCATTCATTCGGATGAATGCTATTGAACAAACTCAAGTACCTGGGTTGTGGTCTATGTTGGCTAGTAGCTCGAGGTGTGGTCTAAGGCTTGTGAGGTTGGCAGGGTCTCCTGTCCTCTGCAGAACAATTGTCAGCTCCTGGACGCTCTTTGCAAACGACTCTGGAGACTGCAACTGGAGAAGAAGATAGAAGAGGAGAGTGAGTCTTTAAAAACAAAATAAAGAATAGATAAATGCATTTGTCCTGCGCTTCTGTTTTCTAGAAGCTTGTGTAAAATTTCAAAAGGGACTTTATCAATAATGAATATAATGAAGCATATGAATTATGCTGGTACCTTGTCAATAATGGACTGCATATGTGACTTGTGGACCAGGTCTCCGTACAGCAGAGAAGACCACTGCTCAGGTGAAATTCGTAGGCCCGCCTCCATGGCGATGTGGACGATCTGAGCGTCGTGTTCTCTCCTCAGAGCCTCGTACGTCCGAAACTCTTCCTTCAGCTGCATCAGAGAGGAGTCCTCATCACGCTTGGTCACCTGATAGGGAGGACAGACGATAAGAAAGAATGGGAAAGAGGGCAAGACAAGGGAGAGTGAGAAGAAAGACGAGGAAGAGAAGGAGGGTGCGCACAGATTCTGATCTTTGGTAAGACTTTTTTTCCCAACAAAAGTACCAAACAAATGGAATTAATGGAATAATCAATAATCATCTTTCACCCCAAAATTAATTGTCACTGATAATTTTACATTTTAACTGACATAAAAAGTTTATATTTATTTATTTTTACCAAATACAAGTAATTAATCTTGGCTTTAATTCATGCCTGTTTGTATGGGCAGAAGATCTGAGAATTATTGAGGTATTGCAACTCTGAATGCTAATTAGAATATACTGTACTAAAATCAATATGCTGCATAACTTAATTAAAACAAATAAAACTAAATAATTTTGCCCTTTCCAGTGACACCTAGCTAGCTAATGGGGAATTACATATTAGTTTGGGGATTATTCCTTACAAATACAGTAGTATTTTGGTACGGGAGGTCCCAAGTACTAAAAATAATTTTCAAATTAAATTTACCGACTGGTTAGTTTATCTGTGTGTGGTGTCTTCAGACTAATAAACTCAAATTCAGATCAGACAAGGGGATTTTCCCCTTCTCAGAATCTGCCCTATGAGTAATCATCACAAGACACCAACACACGCCAACGCAAGCTATCACTTATAAATCATCTGAACTCAACGGTCAAAATTACAACCTAACAGAATCAGATTTCGTCATTAGCAGAGCTCTTGCTTCTGTCCATCCTCTGTCAGCTTTTCTCTCTCTGTTCCTGCACTTTCATCTATCTTTCTCTGCATCTCTGTGCTGTCTGTCTGTGTCCTGCAAGGCGGGGCAACAAGGGCAAATATAGACTGCTGTTACATCACAAGCAGATAGCTGGCATTTCTGCCCTACCAGCGATGTCTGTCATCAGATAACAGGCACAAAAATACACGCACACACAGAAAATATATCCACAGAAGTCCATATGCTCATTAGTAGTATGGGCAACCCATTTAGGGAGTGATAATAGATTAATCTCAGACTGGATCATATAAAGTTGAGCAATCCACTTTTGAGAAGGGGTTTTCTGAAGCTCCCTCAGACGCTTTGACTAATTTGATGAAAATCATTGTTTTTGTTTTTTATCTTAATTTGATAGCGTTTATTAGGTGGAAAATATTATACTATAGAATAACAGTTTTGGAAAACACCTCTATGACTGATGACATAAAAAGGGTATTCATTTGGAGCACTATCTCCGCAGTAAAGGAATATGTGGTGGTAACTGAAAATCTATTTAAATTCCCTTCATCTAATCAGGTCATTTATTATGGCTTGGGTTCTTGGGACAGCAGCAAACTGAGGTTCTTTTGTTCAGTCTGACGTAGACTATATTCACATTTTAATGAAGCACTTCATAGTGCATTGCATGTTCTTCTATGTGAACTTCTGTATGGGTTTTATGTGTATTTATGTGTGTATGCTCATTCATGCTGCCTGTACCTTGAAGCAGGAGGCCCTGTAGAGAAGCTGCACCACGTGGCCTATGCTGGTTTTGGAGGCCTGGGGGAATCGAGCCTCCAGCTTTTGCACAACAAACAAAACCAAAACCTTCCTGGACAAAGCTGAGCCGTCCTCCAGAGCCAGTAAGACTAGCTTCAGTGCATCTTCTTGCATAGCTGATGAGGAGTTTGATGAAGTTAGAGGGGGATGTAGGGATACAGCAAAGGACATCCGAGAGGTGGGGAAAGAGAGCGAGAGAAAGCGATATAGAGATGGTGGAGAGAATCAGAGAAAAATATTCAGCGAACAAATAGACACAGGTGAGCATGCATATGCATGCAAACACTGCAAATAATACGTGTTTTGATTTTCTATTCTGAACAAACAAAAACAAATCTATTTTTGATAGAAGAACCAGGTGTCCTCAGACTTTTTAATGAACTCATTCTGTGATCATGATGAGAAACAGTTTCCCAGTCAGAATCTGCCCTATGAGTAATCATCACAGGACACCGGGTACCAGCAGTCAGTTTGATGAGGCAGTCTAAACAGGCAATTTACTCTACTCAAAAGGTAACTTCTGGACACGAGTCCAGTGAACTGAATGAGGAACCAACTGAACTGACAAACTCCTAAAAATCCACAGGCTTTAAAACTAGAATTTTTGTATGCCATGCACACCCACCAGGTCCCAGGAACTGGCAGCCCCGCGCCCTCACCGCTGCCCAGAGGTTGGCAGAGAGCTGCTGGGGGTTCTGGTGCTGCAGGATGAGCTCAGTTACGGTTCGTTCCCCCAGCGAACGGCCTGCCCGCACCGCCCGCACGCGGCCCTCCTCCTCCACCAGCTGGCAGTTCACCAGCGTCACCAGCTTCCTCTGCATTGGCCGACTAAGCACGCTCGGACTCAGAGTCGCCACACCTGCCAAAGGTGACACCTCTGTGGTAAAACAGCATATCTGTGTAACTTCATCGCAACAAGAACATTTACTTTAGTTATCAGTCATTTTATATTTCATTGATTTTTGTCTCAATTTAACTTTATTTAATCGAAATCCTTGAAACAAAGAAACTTAATCCGCTGACCCAAAAAGAACAGAGACATGGCAGACATAAGTCTGTTGTAACCAGCTATAAAGGTGGATTTAGAGGGCTCTTTATGGAGGGGATGAGCCTTCATTGTGTATCTAATGTCCCACCAATGGTTCGTGCTTCTTAGAGAACCAGACATGACGCAGTGTGAATAATCTAATTTGCCAGAAATGATAGAATTGGCTGAACAAACAATCAGAAACTATTGGTCAGTGTCAGGAAGGTTCATCTTTTTGTCTGGTTATGCAGATAGTTGAATTTTCCTTCAGTACCATAAAGGTACAGCAGCTTTAAGGCGTCATTAGAAGTGTGAGAAGCCCGAATGCCAAGTTGCACTCAACCGCGCGGCCCCCGCACATTTAGTACCAGGAGCTTCATTCTCTTTCACAGATGTCCACAGATCTGAAAATGTACCATCAAAAACAAACATACATAACTGCACAGACACAAACCTTTCGCACCGCTGATAGGTTTTAGGTAGAGAGCCAGCTCTTCCACGCACACCTTGCAGACCTCATAGTTCTCAACCTCTGCTGCGCTGCTCAGGCTCACCGGCTGCACATCTGGGACCTACGCGATACACATCATGAGCACACAGAAACACACAGAAAGAGGAGTGCCATGAACATGCCTTCCCTCTCCCTGACTCACCTGAGCTCCAACCAGCTGTAGCAGGGCACAGTTGACTGGCAGCAGGTCGATATCGGTGCTGATGGGTGTCTGATCAAAAGGACAGGCCTTGCGGTGCAGTTTGTGTAGGCAGGTCTTACACACCGTGTGGGAGCAGCCCAGGCTGATGGGCTGGTGGCTGCTGCTGTCAAACTCATTGTAGCAGATGGGACAGGACAGGAACTCTGTCCACTGGGCCGCCTGCACTGGCATCCTGCCACCACACCACTGAGGGAGGCGTCACCGAGCTCAGGGTGAATGCATGTCAACGATCCCCGACAACAGCTCCTGCTCGCCAGTGCCGATGACGACTGCAAGGAACGGGACATAAAGTACTGCAGTGATTCTGTAGGTCAGTACAGTATCAATTAAACAACAAAATATAAAACATTTCTACTCATTTCCAGACAGTAGGTTGTGACTTTGTACACATGTATGGTGTCCAGCAAATAAAGGAGCAGCATTAATGTTATTATTATTCATTGAGCTCTTTCAAGCACTATAAGGATGTCGTTCAAGTACACAGGAACTCTTCAGTCTCTCTCCCCATAGAAGTTCTACATTTATTTAATCTAATGTGGGCAATAAAAGCGCCCTCTCCCTCTGTCTTAAAAGAGGTAGTTGCCAAATTCTCAACTCATATTTCATTTAAGCGCAGCCCATAAAGACCTTGCTGTGACCACATTTTGTATAGTATTAAATCCAGGCCTACATTTCCCTCATCTCATTACAGACATGGATTGGGCAGTATTTAAGCAACATCTTAAAAGATTAAAGAATCTAAATTACCGCTTGGGAAAAAAAGAAAAAAAGAAATGTCCAAGAATGAGTACTGAGTATTCATTTCAAAGTGAAATCAGTCATGCAGGAATCATCTTGGCTTCCACTTTGCTCTTTAAGACAAACCTTCTCTTGTCCAAAGAAAGCTGAGCTCATGCTGAATCATAACAATATCCAATGAGCAAATCAGAACGCAGACCGCCGATAAACACAGACAATATCTGCAGGTTGAGACAAACAGAGATGAATAATACCAGCGTCCTGTTTCAGGGGAAGTTTTCAGGTCAAAGTTATTGTTTCTCTCAAATGTTCCCAAACCATCTTTTACAGCTGACAATGATTATTATGGTGAGCACAGTTTGCCTGTATTAACCTGGTGAAATAGTCTCAGTGTTTGCTGCAGGCAGTGATTTTACTTTACTTTCTATTTCTATTTCTAATGCTGCATTTTAAATCACATCCTTTAACCAGAACAATTTCATAACCTCCCACAACCTTGGCTATTTTATTCCAAAAATATTGCGACTCCCATTAAATTACTGTTTTGAATAACATCTTAGTATTTAATACTCAATGTAGTCTCGAAACACATCCACAAGAGGAAACAATGTTTGTGGTGATTTTTTCATCAACACAAGGTGAGATTCACGCTTCAGCTGACCAAAATCTCCACGGCAGCGCAGCACACGCGCTCCATGATGTATATTCCGGGAGGCACATCACTGCTGTTACGCATGTGTCTTCACCTCAGAAACTCACTGCTGTACACTTGAAATGAGCTTTGCCTGCAGCAAGTTTCTTATGACTGAGGGAAGGACTGTGGAGGCTGTTGAGTAGAGATGTGATAAGTAAAAACGGGTACAATAAAGACGGAGCCAGTGACTGACAGATAGGTACGTGGGAGAAGTCAGCAATCTTAGATTTACAACTGTCTGACCAGCAGCTATTAGATCTGCAGCTTTAAAATCACTTTGCTTATTAGTGAAGAAAAGACTTCTGTGTTGCTTCTTGCTTTAATCTTTTCTTTTATTCAAATATTCACACTTTGTACATCTTTAAAAACATTTCATACCAGGAAATGTTCCTCTTGTTACGTAACACTACAGTACAACGGGATATTTTGTGACTTTTTCTTTAACCTCCTGTGTGCTTTTTGATGCATCATCCCATTAACCAAAAGCATAAAACACTGGCACACACAAACAACCATCCTTCTGACTCTATTATGCAAAGTGTTCTGCACACAGCAGGCAGGCAGCCAGCACCTGTTGCTTTTAGACTCTCTTACATCTGTTCAAACTGATCACCAAAAAAATAACAGCTGGTACCCTCACAGAACAGGCGCCATAACAACTGAAAGAAAATCTATTCGTTGAGTTTAGAGATACAATAAAACAATTTGCACACACACAGAGAGAGAGAGAAAGAGAGAGAGAGAGAGAGAGAGAGAGAGATAAAGTCAAAATAGAAAAAGGAGATTAGAGAGGACAAAGCAACTGACCATACCAGTTTTAAAAAACTGACCTGAGTGTGAATCTGAGAGCCTGTGCCATGTAAGCCTAGCGCAAAGGCCTATTTACAAAGAAATGTATGTTTCTTTGTGTATAAACACAAACAAAAAATCCCTACAACATGTGTAGAATAAATAATGTCCAAAAATAAAACTTTTTTAGTTTTCTGAGTTGTCTGAGCTTTAAAAAAAACGAACTTTTATATATATAAAAAAATAAACAATATTTATTTACAATAAGAACATGCTAGCAGAGAAAGCATGTTCATATGGTGACATGCTAACATATAAAGTCCATTGTAAAGAGAAAGTGGAACCGTGCGCTGTACACTACATTAAACAACATTTATACCCAGAGCTTCTCTAAAAAGTGTATTTAAAGCGCATTTTATATATTGTATCTCATATATGGCGACGTGCCACTTATAACGCCACTTTTACGCACCTTACAAATTGCCCGCAGCGCGCGGCGCCCGCCTTGCCTTCTCTCTGTCCGCGCGGACAGCTCCTCTCTGTCCTCGCGCGTCATGTTTCCTTCCGCGAGGAGCCCAAATATAAAACCGATTACGAGTATTGTAGCCCACAAGCTGCTGAACCACGGTCTGAAGAAGAGTGAGGCAACGCTCATGTGATGAAACGGGTTCAGTGGGAAGTTTGGAGACAACGGAGGTGGGGAGTTTTATCTTGGCGCGTGAGCCTGCACAAAACCCTCTTTTCTCTGTGTGTGTGTGTGTGTGTGTGTGTGTCCGCGGATTAGGGAGTGGTGCAAACTCTGGGGGCAACTGTTAACCGTGATTCACTTGCTGTAGTCACGTTGACAGCCACCTGTTCCTGTGAGCAACTGCTACATCCTGTTTTTACTGAGAGTCCCAGGCAGAGTGCAAGAAGCCTGGCCTTAGCTCCTGCTCTTCCTCTGCAGAAATCATTCCTGCAGCTGGAGACCAGTCTATGCACTGTCACACTATTAGATTAATAATATGCACAAGGAGCTCACAGCACATGGGGAGGTCCAAAATATCCCCATGTACACAAGACTTCCATTAATTCCCTGAAGGCATCACCACTAGTATGTATGCAAGGTTGTGTGTTTGGGGGGGGGGGGTTGTGTGCATGTGGTATCACACACAAAAAGCCCCCAAGGTCATGAAAAAGTCTAGTCTTGTGACAGGGAGAAGTGGGCGTGTTGTATTATTACAGGAGACCTCAACTTCCTCATCAGGCTCCTCTCCCTCGCTGATTATTTTGAAATGAGGAAATCGACCTCTGCGCTCTGTTTCTTTTCTTTCAGACTCGTCCGTGCCTGCAGTTCACCTGGAGCACTCAGGAGAAGTTGGAAGATGTGCCATTTTAAACAGCCCCAAGAATCAAGAAAGATGCAGAACATCCAGTGCGCACCTTTAAGAGAAAGATATCCCTAGAATTGTCAAAAGAAGGCTTTGTAGACTTATACGCAGTGATTTGCTGTAGTGGCCCTGTTGAGCCACCCACTCTGAGCAAAGGATGAGAAGTACATTGCGTCTTTACAGCCAACAGTTGGCGAGCTATCATCTGGCTCAGGACAGTGAGTCCTCACTTGGCCCCCCCTCTGTGTGGGGGAGGGCATCTGGAGTTTCCTTTGGCATGTCTCAGAGAGAGAGAGAGAGCGAGACAGAAAGAGAAAGATTGTTCTGAGCGAGTGCTTTTCAGAACATGGAGGTAAAGGACATTTTGGGACAAGGTTTGTCCCGTCCTCACCTTTCAAGGGTCTTAACTCGGACTTCGGTTTAGGCCCACTGTGAGGCTCACTGCTGCGTTGAGGTTAGGTTAATTTAAGGGTGAAGGTCAAAGGTCTCACATTGCCAGATCTTCTCACCATGCTCGAGCCGAGCCAACGAGAGGTCGGTTGGAAAAAGAAAAAAAACATCAGGAAGAATCATCCTGGGGGAAAAAAGGTTCGGCTTTTTAAAATCCACGTTTTGCATCAAACATAGAACTGACTTCTTCTAAGGCTAGAGCACCTGCAAAATATCATGCCAGAGGAGGACAACTTTTAAAAAACGTCCTTGACACGGCTATTGTGCACAATCCAACTTTGTGCCACAGTTTTCAGTCATTAGCATGTATCTTGTTAGCTTGTTTCCCATAGAAACAGGGACTCTGAAAACAGCAACTGAAAGGGAGCGCAGAAGGAAGCGGAACGCAGCGGTCGGCCAGTGGGAGGCTTGTAATAAACACCCTCATGCCTGGGATTAGGTTATGTTTGGAGTAAGTCATGATGGATAGATGCGGTTGTTTTGGAGTCCTCACACTTCGAGCGTGTGTGTTTGTTGCTTTTTATGTGTATCTTTGTAGGCATTCGTTTCTGAACCTAACTGTCACTTTGCAACTCCAGCTTGAGTATTTCTGTAGGCCCAACGGAGTGACTTGGCACAGTTACCTCTATTGTACCCCAGTATCTGTAGAGAGATACTTGAGGGACAGCCTGGCATAAAGAAGGTGACTAATGGATCTGTGTAATGTGGAAAGCAGAGAATTTGTATTTAAGGAGAATTTTAAGCTCAACGGTGCTCAGTTCATACAAAATTAAGAACGTACTAAGCTGTTTGACACTGACGCGGCTCTGACAGCTACAAGATTCGGGCCTAGCAACGTCTCTGCCACTATTCTGACATGAGGATCTGTGTTGCATGTCATCCCCTCTCTCTCCCTCCATGTTTCCTGCCAATCTTGATATACAACCATCAAATAAAAAATGTGTTGATCCACGCGACAACCGTTGGCAGCGATAAGGGGCGAGCTGTCTGTGGTGGTTGAGCAAGCTCTCATCATCTGATGGACAAACATTCACGCTCCAATCACCCCAAAGCCTTCCTGATATACATGCACACACACACACATGCATATAAAAATAAATAATAAATGGATGCATGGATACACACACCTCCACAGGGCATGTGTTAGACCTGAAGCAGAGGAATCTGAAGTAATATGAGGCCTCCCGACTCGTTCTTCTCACTGTCACCGTGACCCCAGAATTAGAACATTCCATATAGTGTGTGTGTGTGTGTGTGTGTGTGGGTGTTTGCATGCGAGACACAAGAGCGTGTGTAAGAATATGCCATATATGACATTGGATCAGTGAACCCAGTATTTTCACATGAGGCAGGGTAATTCACAAAAACGCCTCCTGGGTTACTATCATGAAAGAAGTGAATCAGCACAAAACCATAAACACATTCATCATTTTAGTGTAATTTTGTAACTACTGCAATGTCTTCTGCAGTTTACTCATTTTGAGGAACATGTGCTCACAAACACTGTTTTAATGAGCCTGTTTTGCTATTTTAAAAAGGTTTCAATATCTCTCATGAATCACTTTTCGTCACTGTTGTAAATGTGCTAATGACCTTTTAATTCCTCGCCAAATATGTCTTGCATGCCCCACGCAGACCCCTCTACAACGGGAGTTTTAACCAGAGTTTTTACACAAACTCGACTGCAGAGCCTTGAATACAGCCCTCAAAGAGCAGCGTGGTGGGCACAGCACAACAAGACTGAAACTTCACACCCACCATACTGCTGAAAAAAACAACTGAGATACTGTATCATCAGTTTAAAGTCAAGCGAGTTAAGAATAACTGAGCCCGAGTGACACTTCACTCTTTGTCCTAAAGGTGAAACCAATTAAATCACATTGTGTTTACATGGAAAAAAAACCCGTGTCTATTCTAGTAGTTTAGGGAGCAGCACCTGTCGACTGTAGAGTGAAAACAAGCCGGTAAATGATGAAGGGAAAGTTAAACTTTAACACTGAGCAGTGATGATGCTTGTTAATCTTTTGAGAGACTCAACAGACACACACTCATGTTTATAGCCCTCTGGGAAGCATTACTAGCAAAACACTTATACACCTGCAGTCTGCAATAGTGAAAATCACCTCATATAACATCATATACTTACATTATCATGCATGTCATTTTGAATATTTTCTATGGCAACACTAACGGAGCTAAAGCTGCTGGTTTTTCTCTGATATTTGAAAATGTTTAATTCCATATTACAGGGTTACTACAATTGTTTCACCATGTACACTCACTTGTTTTTGAGTGTACAGTGGGGGTATGTGGGTCTTTGTGATTATTTATTCATTATGCCTGTCATCACAGTGTGTGGGGGTAGTTTCTGGATGGGAGGCAGAGCAATACAGCTCGCAAGCTGCTGTATTATACAGCACATATAGCACAGGCCCTACTTTATTGCCCCTGTGAGATGTGTCTGCACTAACAGGAGCAACCAAGAGTTATGCAATCTTAGTGAACCATCAGTTTGTTGCAGCCTTGAATAATATTATGGGAATATCAGGTTGCTTTCAGTTGCAAATCAGCAGGTTACAGAGTAACCTCCAGCATGGCAGCCTGCTGCACACTTAAACTTTATGATGGCAGTGCTGCATTTAAAGACCGAAGGCTCCAGTAAATAATATCCAACACCTGAACTTGGAAACTGCTCTGCTTGTGGCTCAGGAGTCACGTTGCGAGCAAAGGTGATGTTGCACTATACATTTCACATTTGTGCAAATTCCTATCATCCTGCTCAGGAGGTACCATCAACCAGCCTCCACCATTGCAGCAGCATATCTACAGTTTCCTATTGCCTTACAGAATGCAATGACTGCCTCAACTCTTTCTAGAAAACCCTGGTTTGCATTCGTAGCTGGCTATGAACTATGGGCCCATATTTCCAATACAACCAGCCTCTCTTATAATATTCCACCAGCACCAGTTGCAGAAATTGATGCTGAGCTAGTAGCCGAATAGTTCCAGGTCTAATGATAGAATTTCTCTAGCTGCCATACGATCCCTCATATTCAGCGGAGAAAAACAAAAACAAGAAAACAGTCCTAATATAAAATCAAAATGCCACAAAATAAAAAAACCTCGATTTGAGGAGCAGGAGAAAGTAACGCGCACCCCTGGATAAGTCACTTACCTCACACACTACACCACAGCAGCAGAATAAACATATTCATCCACAGAAGCGCGTCAAAATAATACAAAAAATTAAAAAAAAATCTTCATCAGTTGCAAAACAACCGCAGCAGCAAGCCCGGGGAGATCATTCGTGATGCGAGAGCGATGTGGCACTGCATTTTAGAGCATTAGATACAGCTTCCTTGGTCCAGTTTTGATCCTCTGCCCCCCTTTTCCGACAGTAAATGACGGACACGTTCGCTCAGGTACAGTGAGCCACACACTCTCCGTGTCACGAACCGGGGCTGAGAGGAGATGGTGGTATCGCTCCGCCGGTGATGGTGCCCGAACTGCGCCTCACCGCCGGGCTGCCCGGGCAGAGGGCTGCTGCACCGCTACGCATCATGCATACTCCGCCCGAGACGAGGTTTTTTTTTTTCTGTTAAACCCTCCCGACGGTTCCACAAAAATGCTTTCTGCGTGTACTTTGTCGGAGGAGCGGCGCGGGGCACTATTTTAATGTTGTGGGCAAGGATAAAAAGATGTAAAGGGGCAAGCCGGAACAAGCCGCTTTTCGAGGCGTGGGCTGCCTTGTTTTAAAGGAACAGACCGAGAGACAGAGAGCGGCAGTGGATGCGCTTCGGCAAGTGCGTCTGTCAAGAGGAAGTGCTCACATAGACACACACACAAACACACACACACACACACACACAGTTCCCGCTCGTATTATTGAAGCCCTGCGTTTAGAGAAGTAGAGTGGCGGAAGAAAAAACTTCACTACAACACCTTATAGTGATTATCTTCCCATAATCTGAAACTAATGCGTATGTTTGATTAGCTGCAGCCCTTTGGAAAGGCTTGAACAACACAAAATGCTCAAATGTCTATAGAAAATGCAATCCAGTTATTTTGTATTGAACCTTTTTTTAGACTACACTGGTCAATACAAGACTGAATAATGTTGATGAACTTAGCCTACTGAGGCTAAGCCTATTAGTTGGATCGTTCATCCTGCACATTATAATGGACTTAGTCTGGCATCTCAATTGTATTTAACAATCTCATTGTCCATGTAGGCTTCACCTCAGGTATAATTGTGTCACACTACGTGAACGCTCTCCTCGCCGACTTGCTGTTCACCACAGGAGAGCCTACTCATTAAGAGGACATAATGTGGTTCTAATTATGTGCTAAATTGCATTTTTGAGCTGTAGGCATGTTATACACTCCCAATATGCAGAATTAAGTATTGAAACTTTTTGTTGCACTGCAGGTCTGGCTATAAACTTGTGGGACCAGACAATCTTAATGAGATATATGGAAAAATGCATTATTCCTGCAGCAAGACAGCAGGAGGCCACAGAAAGATGTGCCTGGTCAGCAACATATAAGATCTGACATCTTTTACGCCCCCTCTGCACATTACTGTTGAAGCAAGCTGTTTGTATGCAGCAGGCTGTTGGCTTGAAAAAGTCACTTTAGTTGGTGGAAATTTGAACAGGCACCTGTCTCCGTGGTAACAAGTGGTACATTTGGCACTGTAAGGATCTCAGTTATATAACAAGTATGGATGACATTACTCAAAGTTAAACAGTAACTGAAACCTTCCTATCTGAATGTTTCATGGTTGCTTCATTTATATGGGACTCACTGGAGCTGTTTGCATTATTAGTGAGGTGTCCCTAATGAAGTGGCCAGTCAGTGCTGCACACATTGCACCAGGAGATTGATATACTATATTATTAGCTTGCAGTAAAAGCACAAATTGATGTATAACACCTCAGCCAGCCATAGTGTTCAAGATAGCTCTAATAGCAAGGCTATTCTGCTATAAATGGATGCATTAGGTATAATTACAATATGGAACGATCCATCTCCCCTCTGTGTGTGTGTATGTGGGTGCAGGTTCTGCAGCAAGCAGTAAGTAGTGTCTGTTCATTCGAACTCATTTTAAATCTTTAAAAGGTGCGTTTTCTAAATTGCACCCTTAAACCACATGCATTTAGTGAGTGATGATTTTGAGTCAAACATTACAATGTCAATTACTGCAATTAACTACAACTAAGATGGTGAACATTATGCCTGATAATTAACACTAGCATTAGCACTGTCACTGTGAACATGTGTAACACTGAACTAGTGTCTCTTCAGGTGATACTAATTATGTTCCTCAGCTCTTGGTTCACTACTCTTCTGTTAAACATCTGTGCAGAATACCACAGGAGTTGGAGATACGCTTTTATTGAACTTTATGTAGAATGCTACAAAGTGTCAGGCTAGAAACAGCAACAACTTGTCCTCACTAGAAAAAACTCTTTTTCTACTCTTTTTAACTCTTCCTTCAATTTCTCGACTATGGCAAGTAACCTAGATCACTGTTGTTGAAAATATACCAACCACTATTATGGCTGTTTTATACGTTAGCATTTATTAGCTTCTTTGGTTGAGCTGAATAGAATTTTTTTTATCTTCCTGAATATCCCAATTGGTGAAAGATGATTATTTGTGTGTTTTAGCTTCAGATAAATATATTCACTGTTCATGTCACTGTAATGTTTTAAGCCTGCTCTACACTCAGACACAGTTACATGCATTCACACCTTTACAACCACAGACTGATCCGTTGGCAGCTCTCCTCAGCTTTACTGGAACAGTTGGGGGTTGAGGGTCTTGCTCAATCTTTCCATCCACCACCACCACCATATACATATATATATACACACACATATATATACACATATATACACACACATATACACACACACATATATACATATATATACACACACACAGCTACAGCCTCAGGCTGCTGGGTTCACAGGCTCACCATCTCCATCGATAACTCAACTCTCGCAATCAAATCCTCTTATTCCGAAGCACAGAGCATGTCTCACACTCATTTGTTTCTCAACATTTATGCATGCCGAGCTCAGCAATGGGCCTCAGAGGAGCAAGCACAAAGCCATACAACAAAGGCCACTTTCACACGCTAATTTGTTTTTCTCTCTGGCAGCAGAATGCAGGGATACAATACTACTTTGCTGCCTTTAGAAAGGGTACAAACAGCTTGGTAATTGAGGATGGTATAATTAGCCGGTCCCATTTACTCCCAGAGTATTTTATTCCTTCTGTATTTGAAATGCCAATAATTTCTCCAAATTACTAATTTCAAGCCTACTTTCCCTTAATAGAATAAAGTGTATTTGGAGCACCCGGGTGGAGATGCTTGTTTGGAATAAGTAACAAACATATGAAACTGTAAGAGTGAAGAAATGAAGGCCAATTTGTGAGAGAGAACAGATGTACAGATGTCGTAGTATTTTGAGGTAATGGGGACATAAACATAGTTAGCTTAGTACAAAGCAAAT